TTATAACAATTTTCCTTCAGTGTGTTTCTGACATGATTAATTCAATTGGTACTACACAAATCCTCCCCCCAACCCCCAACAAACAAAGCCCTATATAACTTCACTGAAACCACTTCTGTAACCAGATTCCACTTCAAACAAGAAAAATAACCTAAATATTCCATTAAATTTAGTCTTATGCTATAGTCCAATTTTATACTTTTTAAATTTTTTCCAAAAGCCATCAATAAGTATGCAAGTGAATGATAATAATAGTATTATAATATTTCTTGCTCAGCTTATGTGTTTCACAATAACTCTGTGAGGCTGGTAATACTGTCATTCCCATTCTATAGATTAAGAAACTCAGGCAGAGAAAGGTGATCTCATTTTCCCAAGAGTTACTCCTAGTGATAAATCATCTGAGACTAGAACTCAAGTATTGAGAAAATAGAGAATTGTCTTCTAAGTAGGATATAACAACCATCCAAACAAACCAACTAATTTTTTTTTCTAATCTTCCTAATTCAGAGTTTCCCAGCTTGTAAGAATTCTGTTACCTTAAACTTCATCAAATTAAAATAGTAAACTGAACACTGTTCTGCTCTTGTCCCTCTGAGGTTTGAATTTAAGTAACAAATCTGATAAGCTATGACTATTTCCTCATGGATACTCTATAAACAATGCCAATAATGGCCTCCACATAAATAATGATGCCACAAGGTATTGTTACATAGACCAAACATCTAGGCTTTCCTCATATATGGAAAGTAAGACTCAGTGTATTCAGAGGCCAAAATAAATGTGCATTTTCTACAAACATTTTGAAAATTCTCTGCAACCAGTCTCCAACATGTTCTCTTAATCCTATGTCAACTCTTGGTGTGACTATATTCGCTTCCAAATTCTCACAAAGACCATACGTGGCAATTTTTCTGGAATTACTCAGTTATTCCAGTAAGCTAAGTTACTAGATCTCAGGCTGCTTTCTGCATTTTAAAAAAATCGTGGAGTATTCTTTTGTTCCCAGGATTCTGCAACCTCCCCTCTGATTCTGAGTTCTCAAAAATTACAGACAGTGGCATTGGGATTTCAGCCTCAAGGTCTTTAGAAGTTATGAAAACATGGTATGTATTGTCATATTTCCATTCTAATACCAAGGAGAAAAATTGGGCTTCTTAGTCATCTAAATCAGTATTTTAAAAAGAATCCCCTTCTACTCTATTAATTATAAAACAAATATATATATATATATATCTAGTAGGAAACCCCTTTGAAATTTGGGGCAGCTGGTACAGCATTTGGATTTGTCATGAAAATATATTCAGGGATAGCAGGATCTACAGATAAAATGCATGGTTTCTACTTAAATAGAGTGCCACATCAGATATCCCAAACTCTCCAGCAGAAGGTGTACAGAGTCCTAACAGACATAAAATACTCGGATTATCTAATACATACATGAATACAATATTTGACCCCTAATCTTAATTTCAATTAAAATTTATGTAAAGGTAAATATAGTGAATGCTACTTTGTTTTCCAAAGCTTTCACAGAAATGACATGTTCTGTGAGATTTCTTAGGGGCAGATTTTTCTTGTATAAAATTTTCATGTGGTGTCATTTAATCATCTTAGTTACCGAATCTCTAGCTGACAAAAGCCATGTTCTAGTTGTAATTTCACATGCTCTTCTAAAAAAAGCAAGTAAGAATAATTTTTTCCAAGTACTTGTTCCAGTGTTCTCTGTTCCTCTAAGGATAGCTTTATTGTTTAATCTTTGCTTTTACGGGGACAGTTTCAGGTTTAATCTATAGTTTTCACACTGAAGAGCCTGATAAAAGGAAATTTGCAAGCAGCTCAGTCTTAAGATGTAAAGATTATTCAAAGTGCCAAACCTTTCAGTTTTAGGCTGCAAGGTGGGAAGGATTTTTAAACTGAACTTAATGTCAAGGGCGCATATTTCTCACTCCCGGAGACTTCTTGCTACTTTGGCAACGTTTTTTCAGAAGTGCAGGAGAAAGCAGGGGCAGTGAAGGAAGTCAACGCGGGCAAAAGTCATGAAGGCAAAGTCCTGATAAGTTTGGAGAGGAAAGAAGAGCGTTTGGCGTGAGGTCAACGGGTTAAATCTGATTGAGTGATCAGAGTTGGGGGGGTGGTGCACGTGGAGACTGAGTATGAGAAGAAATGGGCTGAAACAGATTTGAAACAAAACAAAAGAATGTAATGAAAACAAAAGAGGAAAGGACATGTTTCTGAGGAGATTCTGGGCTAGGAGGTATGTGGCATGTGAGTAGTCAGGGTCAGGGAGGACTTGAAGATAATGTCACTCAGTGGCTAGGGGGATATTCTTATTTTTCAAATTTGTTTCTCATTATTCAAAATTCTTTCAAAAATCAGGTATACTTTTATCACTAAGGCTTATCATCCTAGCTCTTCCTCAGAACACTTCTCAGAATTCCAGTGCACACATATCCAGTCTCCACTGCCTTAGCACAGATGCTCCTGGGCCATTATCTGCACACGCTTCTCTCAGATACTCATGAATGTAGTTACCGGGCTAAAGATGCCAATGCCCCCAAGAACATGAGCCTCATGGCAACCTAACTTCAACCCACTATAGTTTCCTTACTAATTTATATTTTTAGAAGGTTAAAAAGTTCTATGGCTCCATGATAATCTCTTCATGCACTAAATACCCTAGTGAAATTCTCTCTCTTAGCAGAAGTACATATCTTCCATAAATCAATTATCCAGTTCCTAATGGCTATTCCACTAGATCTGGTATGCTTGGAGAAGGGTAGAAAGCACTGGAAAAAGGAACTAACTCTAATGGGAGTATCCAGAATAGTGATTCTTGCTCCCACTGGCAATACAGTAGAGCATGTATGCTGCCTGGGTTCAAATCCTGCCTCTGCCCCTTACTACCTGCAGGACTGGGGGAGTTATTGACCCTCTCTCAGCCTATGTCCTCATCTGTGGGATGGAGATAATAATAAATCTTCCTTCATAGGGTTATTATGAGAAAGAAGTTTATATAGATATTTTGCTTGGCATGATATCCAGTAGTTAATTGTGTCCAAAAATATTGTTTAAATTAGAATGATGTCTTTAACAGTCTGTGTTGGAACTCTAATAGTCTAATAAATCTTTCTCAGAGGCCACAGTTACTTTGAGGTAAACATTTTGCATTGGAAAATTTAGGGCCTCTTTGAGATTTTTAATGCCAGAATCAGTCCACTAGAGTTGAACAGATCAGCCCCTACTTCAGCAAGAAATGAACCTGCAAGAATAAAGAATCACAGCCATGGAAGGGCAGGGAGTGTAAGCAAGATTAGTGGCTCCCACTTTGTCTCATATTACAATAAATGCTGGCCAAGTCCTTACTGTACTTCAGAAGGCCACACAAAAATACTTCTTTGCAATTAATCAAGGAAAAAGGGACAACTCCTGACCATTTTGCTTGGAGATTTAATATGTCACAATGGGGTTTGCAAAATAAGGAGCAGCAGAGCAGCAAGAATTTTCCTTTCTCATAGTATTTCTCACATTTTCTCCAACAAATAATGTGCTTTGGTATCAAATCTTTTCCTTAATTTACCGAGATTATTCAGTAGAGTAGCTTCAAGAAATCTCAGCCGTTAGGATGATCCAAAAGATTCCTTTGAGATACTTAACCCATCTTACCACACAGTAGGAGCTTAACTGTCCCCTTCAATAAACTTATTGACTATGTTAAGATATACCAATACTTTTCTGACAGATTCTGTATCTAATTCTCTTATTCCTACTAAATTTGAAAGTAAAATAATTGAGAGCTAGACTATCATTCTTCAATTAGAAAGCAAAGGTAAAATTAACTTGAAAATAATTAGTTGAAAGATATTCACCTGCACCCCCACAGACTACCTGAGCGAAGAAGCATTAATATTACCCAAATGATTAGGTTCAGGAAGAAACAAGAGCTGACATGGACAATAGCCAAAGAGACAAAGGCAGAGAGTTTTAACTCATGAAGTTTGCAAGGGAGGAACTCTAGTCCTGTGGCACAGGACAAGAGGAAGCATTTTCTCAGAACAAATGTCATAATTTGAGAAATATAGAAGTATATAACTTCTGAGACATCCAAGTTTTTATTCCAGAATTCCAAGACTCTATTTCATGAAAAAAGACAGCTAGAACTTATACCCATGAGAAAATCACAGAGTGGTCACTGCTTGAGATGATTTGTAGTATAGGCAGTTTCTAGAAAAGAAACAAAAAATCTCAAACTCTTGGCTCAAACTCTAAGTACTGTTGAGACAAAAAGTTTTCTCCCTTTTTTTTCCTCCTCTAAATAAGTCACTTTTCAATTCCACTTTTAGCGTCTTTGGCTCTTAAGTAGTGGCTTTTCAATTTCAGCTCATTCATAAAACCAAGCAAGCAAGATGAAAGATTTTCACAAAATCTTTCAAGAGGCGGTACCTGGGTGTTTGGATCCCAAATTCAATCTTTTCTAAAATTCATATTAGGAAAAAAATGCCATTTAGAGTCTAGGTTAGGTTGGAAAGGAGTTCCTACAAAGGGTAAGGATGTCCATTTACCATTTCGTTTTTCTCAGTAATCTTTGTCTTTCTTAGGAAAAAAAAAAAGTGACAAATGGCAAAAACTTATTTCACATGGCCCAGTATCATTCCTGTTTGCCAGAGGAAGGCAGAGCAATCAGTGCATCTGGAAACCCAACCAGGAGATAATATACTAGTTGTCCAAACATTTCTTTGGAAAGTAGGGACATACGTCATAGGAAGAGTCATCCCGGCATGCTCCAGTTGCTCATGGCAACCAGAGCAGCACATGGCGACCCACTGTGGCTTGGATTTCCAGGTTGCTTTCCACTGGGGAAGAATGAGTCATACACATGGTAAATGGAGTTAATACAGTAAAGCCAATATAAACACTGATGTTTTATCTTCTGACAGCATATGAATGTGCAAATCATTAAGTTATAGGAGAAAAGGGGCTAATTTTAGATTTGTTCCTAGCCCTCTCCATGTGAATGGTGTCGCTGTGAGCCCAGCAATGAAGTTCACTGTGTTGTAGCAGACTGCGCAGTTCCTGAGTGTGTCAACCCAGTCTATGAACCAGAACAATGTTGTCCTGTCTGCAAAAATGGTAAGACCATACTGCATTAGCTTTCAAAGAGGGGTTAGTACAAACTGCAAATATTTCACCACTGCCCACCATTCGATATAAGACCCCTCTAAGATCTGCCTGGGGTTCTTCAATATGAGCATGGATAATTTATACTTTTATCCCATCTTAACATAAAAATAAACCAGCAATGGGTGCATCATGAAGCTTTCCATTTGGGGAATTAAAGCTCTTATAAGCTGACTTTGTTGTGATCCCTATTATTTACTGTTGATTTATAGGGAGGATATTGGAAAGAACACAGAACCATCTTTTTGTAATGACTTAATTTCTCTCTTGTGGAGGCTATGAAGCAGTTCATCCCATTTCATAGTTCATAACTCAGGAGAGGCAGTAGGGTAAATACCAGGTTTTTGCTTTGGGCATAGAGAAAATTTTAGGTTTTCAATTAAATTATCAAAGAAATTATCAAAGAAATACAGAATTCAAACATTAACGCACTTAAGTTGAGGTAAGAAAGACTAGAAGATTTGAGACTTTTATTCTAGGTTTTTATTACCCTGAATCTTACTCTCATAGTAATTAGACAGAGGAGAACTTGATTTATATGATTATGGGTTCCTTGTTGACCCTCATGGAATGCGGAGGTTGAAATGCGCTGATGATGCTGGTCACTCAAAATCAAAGTGACGCTACAGAGAAGATAATGCAATGCCATAGACCCAGGACAGCATATCAGCAAAGCTAGTATCACGCTCTTCCTACTAGTCACGTACTACCAAAAAAATAAAGCTACACTAGGTAACAATTCACAAATGTCCCCTCCTGTCATTAATACATGCTTGAAAAAGTAGTTCTAGCTCTTAATTAAGCTGAGGTCAGTCTAATGCTGAATCCCTGTGTGCTTCCTTGGGTTAGCAACTGCTCATCCTCCTCTATCAACCACTTCTTCTTTTTTTCTTTGTCCTGAATTTGCCATTATATTAATTCACCTGCTAATCTTTGTCTTTATAGAATTATAATTACTAAAAAGAGGTATCCTTTTATTTAAAGAAAAAAACAAAAGCAGTTCTGTTGTTTTTATAATAATTTCTGTGTTTTAGTGTCTTCCAAAGGACTTAGGAAGAACACATGATATTTTTGGCTGACACAATTTTACTATTTCTGATCATAGGAATCCACTGAGTTGAACATTCAACTGCACACCTGCCTTCTCTTTTTATTCTTATTCCTCTCACCCAACTGACCTCTGTCATAGTGACCATCTTTTCTGACTTAGAAGGTGGAAATAAATATCATCCTGAAGTCCTAACCTATCTAATATATGTAAAGATATACAATTTAAGACTTTATATTTTTTAGAGGATTTTGTAGAAACTGGAAAAGATATAGGGAAGAACAATAAGATGATTTAATGGTTGAAAAATAGGACCTATGAGGACAGACTCAATGTGTGAGCATAATTTGTCCTGGAGAAGAGAAATCTCAAGGGAGACCTAACTGTCATAAAGTATATGAATGGTTAGTCTAAAGTGGAAGAGGACCTGTTATTTTTCATTTTCTCCAAGGACAGAAGGAAGAAAAAATCAGCTACCTAATCAGTCTTTAAAAATAGGATTGACAAGTCTTTGACTGAAGACTGTTTTTTTGTTTGTTTTTTGGTTTTTTTGGTTTTTTTTTTTTTTTCCCTAGAAGCAACTGTCTAAACAGGTCCTTGAGGATCCTCTCTTCCCTAGGTTTCCTTGGTTGGCTTTGTTTCACATTTATGGTAAATAAAATTGTGCTTATAGTTAACCTCATCTGGACATACTTAGAATACTCATAGAAGAAACCATATTAGACCATATGTGCTCTAATATATATATCTAATAAGACCATATATGGACCAGAACACACAGAGTTTACACATGCACTACTAATCCTCCTAGTGACCCCACACCAAAGCCTAGAATATATCCAGAGTTAATGCCTACATCAAAAGTCAGATCAGCCACTACCAACTTATCACCTTTAATTATTTGACTTCTCTCCACGTGCCAGAGTAGAAATCTATCTTCAAATGAAGCCCTATTTATACAAAAATATCATATAATAAATGGACTTTAATTGTTTGATTAATTAATTAGTCACCCATTATATTCCTGAAACACATGTTAAGAATATTAGTTAAGTTTTCCAGAATTTTGTTCATGACACACTATAGTTTCTATTCCTTTTTTGCCATTTCCAAGCAAACTTTTTTTCTTTTTTTAATAAGGGAAATGAACCTGAATTAGACTTGGTAGGAAGACAAACTCTGATTATAATATTATAACATATTATCTTTTTTTATATGACACTAATTACTCACTTGTGCTCCAAAATTGAAGTATAATCATTGTCAAAGAAAAGCATATTAAGGATCACTGAAGAAACTTTATGACCACCAATGATACTGGTACTTTTACTGAGAGAACAGACTGAGCTCCATCTCACTTGCTCTCATTCTAAGCTTAGCCCAGAAAACAGAAACAGATGACCTATGTGTAGAAAAGCAGGGGTGGAGGTCAAGGGGATTGATGTTTATCATGAGAGAATACAACTGGAATAATTCTCTAAATTTCCAACACATAGTAAGCTTTTTTCATTCTTTATAACAAGATTAATTTGCTTATTATAGTGTAAACTCTTCGTGTGCCACCAATTTCTTAGATTAAAAAAAAAGATAAAAATCTACCCTATGGATTCAAGGTGCAGGCAATAAATCTTAATTTGTAAACAGCCCTATAACATTTTCTACATTTCTTAAATCTTCATAAATGTTGAACATTTTTAGTTTGCATAAATGCTGATTATCTTGGCTGCCAAATACTTTGCTTTTGCATACTAACATCAATTTCTCTGCCTTCCTGAATTATAACTTGCCAAGAGCAAGAGGCTTTAAATATATAAAAGTTTAAGATGATAGAATCTACCACACCTGACCTTAAAATTCAATATTCAGCTAATATAAAGTCTTCATTCTCAGATTGCTTAAGAACAAACAAAATAACAAACTTCCGGGGAAATGTGAATGATTGGGCACAGACAAAATAAGAGAAAAAAGAAGAAGGTACTTATTATTTGGCAAGGACTGGGAGGAATTGACAAAGGAATTTATTGCTTTTTAAAATATGATTAAGCATTTGCTTCTCTGCAAGAGCTAGCAATCTAAATGCTTTCCTGAAAAATATGACATTTCCTGACTGTCCATCTTTCCCTCAGATTGTGTTACTTTGACCTGTCTTTCAGCTCAAGTCTTTTCTATGTGAATTAATGAATATTTTTCATGGTTTTCTGTCTTTATAGTATAAAAAAGTAAAGTAGCACAACATTTGCTTTTAAAAAATTCCAGTTTTGAGCATCATATAAATACTTTGAATATTTGGTTAGTGAAAATACATTTTATTGAAAAAATATTTGTTCATTAGAGCATCCAAATAACTAGCTGTATTTTTCACATTTGATCAGCCAGTACGTCAGTGAATTCCATGTTTTCACTGGGATATATAGTCAGTCATTACTAATGGTTCTGAAGGAAAAGTCACTTTGTGAAAAATTGGAATAGACAGGAAGTATCCACAGAATCCACCATACACACTAAGTGAGAAGTTTCCATATTGTTTCTAAGTAAACTGAAGGACCTATTCAATATCTTAAATATTTAACTCCTTTTCCCTTAGCCTCTTCTAGTTTAATAGTGACACAAATAAGGCAGGAAATAGACAAGGCAAAAGAGAAAATGGAAAGGAAGAAGACAATGGGGGGTATGGGAAGTGCAGAAATAAGAGAAGGAGGGGAATTTAAAGGTGCCTGGAAGCAAATGTGTGACACACGTAAGTGTTAATATCTCTAATATACAATGAGCTCCTTGAGATAAATGAGAGAAAAACTATAGGGAAGGAAATGGGCAAAGAGGAAATTCACAGAAGAAAACAAAATGTGTAATACATATATGAAAATATGCTCAAACTCACAAGGACCAGGGACATAATAATTATAAAGATGAGATACCAACATCGTACTGATAATAATTTGGAATTAATAATACCCCAAATCAGCAATGATATTTTAAAAAGAGGTGAGAAAATGTCAAAACAACTTTTAAGGAGGTACTTTCCATCAAAAGTTTCATGAAACTTTGAAGTTAGCAATCTTTCCTCTTGTACTTTTCCCCACCTTCACCCACTACATTTTTACTACATTTTAAGAGCAAAATAGTGAGAGAAAACCTAATAGTCTTTAATGGATTAATGAAATACATTGCAGCCTTTAAAAAGACCCTACTGACATTCTTTAAATGCTATATAAAATAAGCAAGGAATGTACAGTAAACTATATATTGTTTTATGCATAACATAGTAATTTGTGTCATATATAATACATACATTTTAAGTGATATACATTTAAAAGATTTGTAATTAATGTACAATTTTAAGTAGATATTAAAGTATTTATGTATATAGGAAAAGAACTAAGTAGATACACAATAGAGCATTAGTAATGATTTAAAGGGTGCTTTTAGGGAAAAGTATGAAGGTAAAGTGGGAAAAGACAAGAGCTAATCTCTTTAAAACTTTAAGCTTTACAGACTGATCATAATACAAACAACAGAAAAGTATACAAACAGCTCACAAAATACAAATGTTCAAAAAGTATTAAAAAGCTATTCAGCTTAATAAATCAGATTTTTTAAAAAAATTTAAGTCCTTCTTTGTTGTTTTTGTATAAGGTATAAGGAAAGTTCTGGAAGAATAGAGGCCAAATTTTTAACAGTGATCCAATGATCAGAACAAAAATAAAGGTGCAAAGGTAGAAGCAAAAAACTTTGATGTTTTATTTCATCAGTCTTTTTACTGAAGGAATTTTCAAAAAAAAATCTTTTATTTTCATAATTTAGGAGGGTGTATCAAACCATTAAATAAATGATAATTCTAATATTAATTAAACCCTTCCAGAGGAGAGACAAGAACAAAACTTTCTTTTCTTTTTTCTGGAATATC